AATAACGCCCCCCCAAATAATCCATTCCACCCCACATTCTCATCATGCATTATTTGCATCACCATCATTGCATTCTCTACATTCCCATTTCATCTTTCCACTTGAGTCCTTCTATCGCCACTATGAACTCCTCAATATGGAGTTCATCTTTTCATTTTTTTTTTAAAGTTAGGAGCAAAAGGCAAATGGAGGAGACAAAAGGTAGAACTAGGGGTGGCCACATTCTCATCATACAACAACAACAACAACAACAACAACAACAATAATAATAATAATAATAATAATAATAATAATAATAATAATAATAATAATAATAATAATAATAATAATAATAGTAATAGTAGTAGAATATAAAATATTATATGTATAATGTTTTTATTTTTATATATAATAATAACTAATTACTTTAATTCTTATTTTTATAAATATCAAATAAACATATTTTTATATATAATTTTTTATTTTTATAAAACATTTTTCTCAAATCAAGCTCCAGCTGAACCAAATTCAAGCTTACGAGTTTTTGACTCGAGCCAAGCTCGAACTCAAGGTTGTAGCTCGAACTAAACTCGAGCCTCGTACTATTTTCGTGGAGATATGGGGTGTCGAACCCCATACCTCTCGCATGCAAAATGAGCATTCTACCATTTGAGCTACATCACCATCACTCTTTCTAAGATATAAATAGACCATGGAAAGGCAAAAGCACAAACAAAAACCAAAAAAAAAAAAATCAGAATCAGATAGTTTCCTGCTATTTAATTTTAGTAACTTTTGGGTTTAGCGACTTTAGGGTGGAATGAAATTAATTTCACTTCTATTGAAAAAAATTAGAGTGATTACGCTGATCTCCATACCCACCCTAGTTACAACCATCCTTCGTTAAAGCAGCTTTCCAAGGGATGATTACAAGCACACAGTAAGTGTTACAATTCCATACTTCCATTATTTAGTGAACTTATGAGCTTAAATCACTCAAATTACATTCATCATTTGCAATTAAATTGGGTTATCTTTGTTGGTGTAAGACTTATTTCCAAGAGCAGGTCTATGAGCTTCAGATTTAAGCTTTTCAAAGTGGTTTAAATTTGAATATTGATGATACGTGATCTAAACGCTCCCTGTTAGAGGACAGTTCGAATGTCAAGCTAGTGATGTCGCCTAATCGTGCTATAAAACAAGACAGTCAGAGTGTTTCGGGGTGCTTTACTTGGTGTGGGCACTCCGATGCTTAAGTTAGCAATGGAAATTTGAGAGAGCTGAGAGTTTAATAATAATGGAATTTGAGAGCTAAATCGCGCTTACCTTGTGAGGCTAGAGGCGAAGCTTTTATATAGGCAAGCTGTCGTGGGTCTCATGATGCATGTCCGAGATCATCGATCCGTCTAGTTTGGAGTTAGTTTCGTATTTGAAGATGAACTCTGTGTAAATTGATAAGGCTTATCTAGATCCATTCGAATCGGGCAGGATGAAGATAAGATCCATTGACATATGCCATGATCCCAAGAAGATCGAAGACGGTTAGCTTTTTTCTAGAAGGAGGTTATGTGACACCTTGGCAGGTCGGTGAATATAGTGAGCTGCTCAGGTCTCGGTATAGCTAGGTGGTCTGAGGTGCCTTAAGTGACCAAAATCACTGAGGTGTATGAAGTTGTTGTAGTGTCACCAAATTAGGATATTACTCCATGTGTCGTCACATCATTGATCAGGCCAAATTATCTCTCATCAAATATAATGCCATATTAAGTAATTTTATTTAAATTGATAGCTTGGGTGATTATTTAACTTTAATGTTGGGGCTTGACGATGAAATTAATAAAACATATCATATGAATCCAACATATAATAATTAGTATCTTATATGCGATGGTGTGATAATTCTAATCAAAATATAATACTGCATTTCATTTCTTATGGTTGTTCTTCAAAAGAGAGGCTACAGTGGGGATGCCAAACAGAACAAGGCATGGATTTAAACAAAAAAAACCCAAAATGAATATTTTGGGTATGTTTCATTGGGTGTGGATGATACTTTTATGTGTAGTCAATTACAGTATTATACATCACGGAGGATAATTGAGAATCTATATAAATATTTATATAAATATATTAAGCTGAAATGTATACGTGAGAAGGCCTGGCAAGGAGGAAAATGGAATCTAATAGTATTTTCTGCCTTTCTTTTTTCATAGAAATTATAAGAATACCACTCTATACCAACTTTCTTTCTCTTAATTTTTTTTTCTTTCAAATTATATGAATGCCACTCTCTCCTACCAACTCTCTCTCTCTTTCTCTCTCTTACAAATTACAAGAATGGCATCTCTCTCTCCTTGTAAATTACAAGAATGCCACTCTCTCTCTAACTGAGGGAGACCTCAACTCGGCATCTCGGCTGCTAGGGGATCTGCAACCAAAGGTAGTCGAGTTCGAACCAAGTCGAACTCGAACTTTTGAGCTCAAGCTCAAGTCTCTAATTCAAATCGAGGTCGAGCTAGATGACACCTCAACCACTGGGGGAGACATCGGCTTGGCACATCGGTCACTGAGAACTGAGGGAGACTTCAGCTCGACACCTTATCAACCAAGGGAGACTTTAGCTCGACACCTTTCATGCTGGGAAACCTCAGCTCGACACTTCACTAGTTGAGGGAGACCTCGATTTGGCACCTCAGCAATTGAGGGAGACATCGGTTCGGAATCTCAACTGTTTGAGAGACCTTCAATCAAAGATAGCTGAAGTCAAACTTTCGAACTTTTGACTTGAACCGAATTCAAATTCAAATTCAATTCTCTAATTCAAATCGAACTCAAACCTGATAATTTATAAGTGAACCATTGCAAACGCAAGACCCCTCCGCTAGTAATAAGTGTAGAGGCACGATGCATTACTACATGTGCCACTTTATAAAAAAGAATAAAATATGTTCTTTAAACAGTTAAAATAAGGGAGTAGGTAGGTGGCTGGGTGGCTATCAACTTATTAGTTGGCATTTAATAACATTTCTGGTCTGGTGTACCTTGTGGCATGTGGAGTGTGGACATATGTTTTGATTTTTGTCGGATTTGAAGATTGAAACATCCACCATACATATATCCGACGATTCCAACCATAATTTCAATTTAACCAAACTGGAATTCTTAATCCGGGCCTTGGGCTTTAGGTAAGATTGATTCAAATTTTGGCAAAAATTAAGCCCAAGCCTAATTCATGAGCAGATTCATACAGAAGGAAGCCAACTTAGCAGGCTCCTACAGCCACACATTTTCAATATCTCTTCTACTTTTTGTGACTATGTCATGGGGGATGTTCTGCATGTGCGACTGTAGTGTCTTTGTGGCGAGGATGCCTTAGCATCTTGTGGTCAGCATATTTTTATTGCGCTTTATGCCAGCTAGTGTGCTGGTAAAGTCTTAATTAACTGGTTGTAACTTGTAAGGGAGATCTAGGATTAAGTCATGTATTCATGAGGGGTTTTGATTGGTCAAAGTTCTTTTGGGTATTATACCTTTCTCTCATTATGGATTTTCTTCTATTCTCAAAGACTATGGTGATGGATTTATTAAAAAGAAAGTCTATAAGGGGGGTATTTTCAAATCTGAATTGTTTTTGTTGTTGCCAATTCTAAGAGAAATCAAATCCATCTGATTTGAAAAAAATGTTGATAGTTAAAATAAAAAACAGAGAAAACATTTTCTTTGTTATACACATGGTTTTTAAAACTGACCCGGTAATTCTGACAACAAAAATAAAAATAAATTAAAAAAATTGTAAAATGGTCAAAACCGTTCGAACAATTAAACGGACGGTTCAACGGTTTATTAATCAAAATCAACAATTTTGGGGAAAAAAGCGGTTTTGGGGAAAAACAAAACCGGTCAAGTGACCGGTTTCTGGTTTTTTCGGTCCGACCGTCTGGTTTTGAAAACCATGGTTGTATATATATATATACACACAAAATGTGACTTTATTTTAAAAACAATCATTTTGATGGTTTCGAACACATGAATTGGTTTATTTGAAACAAAATCCTTTTGCTTTTCAAAAATCAAAATAAAAATGCGGTTCAAGAACGTGTTTTTATATTTTGTTGATATATGACAATTTCAAAAACGAATGAAAGTATCAACGTTTATATTACAAAATACCCCCTAAATTTATTGAAAATGAGAAAAGAAAAGAAGCATAATAAAATGTCATCAAAGGAAAACATTGTAAATAGAGGAACGCCGAAGGTATATTAGTGGGCTGGTATTTTGGTCCCTTATTAGATGGTCCGTCCAGTTAAAGCCAGAGCCCGGTTATTATGGGTCAGGATTGGTTTAAATTCTTTTGGGGGATCGGAGGACTCGGCCCAACTATTGGGATTTCCAGCTCAGATTAATCTCAAGCGCAATTCTACCACCTTGCAACCGTGAAAAGTTTTTGGGCACAACAAAGGAGAGTATTAAAGTGGTTCCAGACGGCCAGTGGACCTGGAAATCAAAATCTCAAAAGTCAAAATTATCACCAAATGGTCATGGCTGGAAGGACGACTGGGCGAGAGGAAGATGGATAGATCAAGTTGAACAAAACTGAAATTCTGATGCACCCTAAATCTTACATCTTAAAATGGTTGATTTAGAATTAGTAATATCTTTAAGACAAAACTATTTATAATTCATAGATAATTTAATGGGCAGTTTCTAGAGTAAAGGACATACCCTCTTTATGCCTGTTGTATGCTTAAACGAGAGGAATACAAAATTTTAATAAGAAGCGGCATTCGCTCTTTCTGTAGATAGTATAGTATAGATAGATTATTATGGAGAAATCATCATGTGGTTTATCCCCCTAATTTGCTTTATTAATGGAGTTGTTGAGAAGCAAGAAACCTGTGTTTGATGATACAGTCCTGCCAAGATAAATATTCATCTAAACGGACGGCCAAAATCGGTGATTAATGTTTAATGTGAAAAGAAATTGAGAGGGAAAAAAAAGAGAGATGTGCCGATCGTGATGATTTTTGTTAGTGGGATCCACTAATTTTATATTTCATTATATTGACATAAGTTTGATGATACATAGGCGAATTTACAAAAGTCAGGATAAAGCCAAGGGAAGAAGAAAAAAATATATGTACAGAGAAAAGTAAGAAAGAAACAAAGAAAAATAAGATCCAGCAAGGTAGCTGGGGTGGTGGAGAGGAGAGCTAGCCAAGCCGTCGCTGAGCAAATGCCAAATGATAGCTTCTCCTCTCCTAATTTCTCTCTTTCTCTGCTGCTCTGTCTACTCTATCCAAAACTCCAAAGAGTTTCCATTGGCACATTTTGTTTTATTTATAGTAGATAGATAAATAGGTAGATAGATAGATGATATTTGCAATGGTTCTGGTTCTCTATATACAGTAATACAGAAACATCGTGCCGATTCTTCAACAAAATCGCCGCTTCCTCTCTCAACGATCCAGCGCGCTTATCACTACCCTGTTTCAGCCAAGGAAACTCCATTACAAGACATAAATTTAAGCTGTGGAAACACAGATGAGAGAGAGAGAGAGAGAGAGGCACACCAGTCGTAAACGGTTGGGCTTCTAGGTTGTGCGCGTTCGAGCACTTCCGACGTCGATTTCCTTCTCATCAATCTCCTAAAATCCTCTCCCGGCGTAGCCGCTGCAAAACAACAACAACAACAACATCGAAAAAACAAGTTAAGACTTTGAAGTAAATCCTTTTAGAACCATGTGGAAGTGGGAGCAATCCGACTTCCTTCCCTAACTATGAACAATCAGGGGAAAGAAAGCTAACGTACGTGAGAACGGCGACCCAGGAGTGTTAGAGCCAGCGGGAGAAGAGGGGACGGAACCCGAATCGCCGGAAAAGTTGCGGAATTTGGAGTTGGTCTTGATGATGGTGATGCTCCGAGATATTGGAATATCGTCGGTGATAAGTGGAGGGGGTCGTGAGGCTGAGAAAGAGTCGTACTTTCGTAGCTTGCCGAGGCCCGTTTCGGGTTTGGGACCGGCGACTATATCGTCCCAGAGCTTATCGAGGAAACCCATATCTATTGTAACAAATGTAATACCGGAGGAGGTCGGAGGTAGCCCGATACAGATTGTTACAAAGAGAGGGAGGAAGGAAACGAAGTGGGAAGATATCGGATACGGAAAATGGTCGGAGATTTCTTCCAACCAGGGGGAGCCAGGGGATTTTATAGCCAGCGAGAGAGAGAGAGAGGAAAAAGCCAAGGAGATGATATTATTGTTATAACGTTCCGACGGCTGATCTCTCTCCCGTTCATCTGCTCGGCTCATGTGGGTGTGGCTCTCTTTCCATCCAATAAATTATGTTTATTTTTAGCTTGCCTAAGAAAAGCTACTAATTCACCCTTCGCCCCTGATTTAAAGTTTCACATTTCCCCCTCTTACGTTTTAGTTTGTCTAATTACATCCGTTTAGTTTGGCACCCTCACTGTTTTCCTTTTTACTGCATTTTATTAATAGAAAGGAAGAAAAACAGAAAAAAACAAAAATCAAACAGGATAGAGTCCAGATCTGCTTCTCACAGATCGCGTCTCACACCGATCATCCAGCATGTCTTGGCCACTCATAAGGAGCATCTCCCATATTTGTATTTATTATTTATAGAAAAATATTCTTAATACAGGATGAAATGTGAATGTGAGGCATGCCCTGCGAGTAATATGTCCCAATTTATGATGATAGCCCTTCTCTAAAGGTATTTATATTTATTATTTATACAAAGATGTTCTCAATACATGACTGGATGGGATGTAGATAACCCTTCATGATGATGATGATAATCCTTTGTGAGGAGCAGATGCGAATTCATGAAATAAGTAAATGAAGAAGAAGAAGAAGAAGAAGAAGAAGCCAGAGTTCCATGAAATAAGTAAATGAATCTCCTCACCCTATGATTTGCTTAAGGTCTCCAATCTGCATGAATGTTATATGGCAGAAGACATAATAGGCATGAAGCCTCATCCTTGCACCTTCTTTTTTTTTGACAATTTGAATATGTTTTCCTTGTTTTCTGAACAGCTGAATATATTTTCTTTTAATAAAAGTTGTCCATTTCAAATGTTTGAGCTTAAGACTTTGCATTAAGTGGGTTTCACCGGTAGTGCAAAAGGTTTGGTGCAGACAGCCAGTATTATTTGAGTTTAACATTTTGATTGTGTTTGTGAAATGAAAAGGAACCCTTGATGACCTTTTTATTTCATTTTGCTTAAAAGGGGTGGTTTTAGGTAAATAATGCAGAAGCCAAACGCAAAGGCTAAGCGGCCCGAGCCGAAGGGGCGAAGAAGCCCAATTTTTCAGGGAGCTGTGCCTTGACCAATGACCAGGTCTTCCTTCAGACTCTCCACTCTAACCATCCTTGATTTTTTCATATTTGAGATTCAGTGTCTTACTTTATGTTAATTGTAATATCATCTCTTAAAATTGTCATATCATTGCATTTACACCCCTTCTGTTAAAATCTTCTAACAGAAGGGGCAAAATGACAGGAAGCTCCATTCCATGACGTTTTGATTTTCTCTTCTTTTTTTTTGTTTATCAAACAATCAAATATCTGCCACCACTTTTCCTTTGCGGAGAGCAGACGCTACTATTTCAGTTTGGTGGAACTATTGATAAAAAATACCCTTCCCTTCTTGGCTCTTAGTTTGTTTGTGGTGTAAATACAAATCGATATAATTAAATACTTCAATCCGATTTTGTTTGCGTTTGGATGATATCAAAAATCAATATAAAATTCCGTTCATATCAAGTTTTATATCAATAAAAATAATGTAAATATTTATATTGATAAATCCACTTACCATTTACAACAGTTTAATTTAAACCACAATTCCATCCAATGATGTAATTTTACTTTTACACCGCATTTAATGCAGCCTTAAATTTTCAAAACATGCATTCACCCAAAGTGCAATTGTTGGGAATGAAGATGAAACAATAGTTACGACTTAGGATGTGGAAAGCAAGTGAACGGTAGTTGAAAACCAAATACCGGCTCTGTCAAGTGTTTTGATGTTTTGCTGTAGTAGTAGGGGTGAGTAAGAAAAACCGAAAAATTGAATTGAGCAAAAAAATTGATTGAAACTGAATTAAAAATTCGGTTAATCAAACTAGTCGATTTGGTATTTTAAAAAATCAAAGGTATCGATTCGATTTTGGTTAATCAAAATAGAAAACTGGCGGTTAACTAAATCGACCGATATACATATATATTTTATGTACTTTTATGTATATTATACATTATAAATTAATAAATATGCATTATATATAACTATATATATGATATATAATATATTATTTATTATTTAAAATATAATATTATATATATTTTTAATGTTTTATTATATATTTATATATATTTTTATAATATATATTACAACTAATAAAGAAACGATGAACTAAATCGATAGTTAAATGAACTGATCAGCCAGTTAATCTATTGGTTTCAATTCGATTTCAATTACCGATTTTTCAAAAACCAATAACCCAGGTTTCAAAAATAACCTCCCTCCCCTAGACAGGAGAAGAATGGAAAGAAATGAAGTTGCAGAAAACAAATAGAATGCTCCGTTTTGAAAACACCGGTCTGCTGTATTAGAGAGAATGACCAAAGAATTGAAATCAAACGGCGGGCATATTGAGGGTCTGATGATGGAGTGCCAATTTTGTTGAAATCAAACTATGGTTAGATTATTACCAAAAAAAAAACTATGGTTAGATTGGGCTGGACCATGGATTGATCACACACTTCCCTCGGAATCATTTGTTTAGAAAATCAGCCATTCACGCACGTTGGCAAATGCATGTAGGTGGATTTATGATATTTTATTGAATTGGTTGATGAATTATATAAATAGAAATTTGTTTAGAAATTAGAAGAACTATTGATGCCGCTGCAAAGGTTAAAGGGTTCTCGGAAGAGAGACCGCTCGCTCAGGAAGATTTTGTTTAGTATATAAATCCTCATTTTCTCACTAGGGTAATTTTGACATTGAAAAATATTTAATTGATGATATTAACAAATTCTGTCAACTTTTTAACAGTGACGTAATGGAAGGAACGTAGATGAAACCATATTAAAAAGTTCAGGGATGGCAATGCAACTATCATAAAATATGGTGCTGAATCCTAACTGTGAAAGGGGTAATTCAGCAATTTACCCTATTATTAAATATTATTGTTATTATTAAATCAATAATTAACGGGTCATCGGATAAGATCGAAATCGGATTCCACCAACAGGACGTTGACACATGGTGGGACCCAGGTTGCCTATCACGTCACGTGATGCAAGGCTTTATCTGCCGGTCTTTGCTTCCTAACATCCACTCACCCGGCCACCCGAACCCGGAAAAGTACGGACAGTTTTAAACTGCGATCAATGGTCAGAGAGAGAATTACAACTTTACAAGCCCCCCCCCCCGCCCGTCGAGTAAGTCGGGTTGTTATCGGATAAGACCGAATAATATGGTATGCTTAATTTGGATAATTACCTTTATTTATTAATTAAGTAATTAACTGAGCATAAAATTAAATAAATCATAGGTGAATGATCCTGTTCCTGCTCTGAACTGAAAACAAAATCGTTAAATTTTAGGTTTATTCAATAAACAATTTTCTTTCTCAAGCCATGAAATTTCCTTTTTAAGTATCACATGTCTCTCTCTCTCTCTTCATTCCCTAATATCTCAAACTCAATTCGAAGGAACACGAAGCTGAATTCGCATCTACGCCCTATAACGTATGACACACAGCACATCTCAACTGTGTATTGAAAATATTTATTTAAAATAATAAGTGAATTTATTCTTTAAAGAATGCACCTTATACGGACGTTACAGGCACATTCAACCGTACTTTGAGAACATTTATCATGAACAACAAAAAATAAATACGGGAGATGTTACCGATACATGGTGGCTAAAGGTGTAAATTAGGCCGTGCTGTATTGTGTGTCGCCCGTGCTAGCTTGCAGGTTAGACCGGGCCATACTTCTCACCCCTGGGATACTTTGGGGGGTCAGCCTGTTATAGCTCATGGCTCAAGCTCGTGCCGGGCTGTGCCACAGGCCTAGGCTGGGCGGATTGCGGGTCATGTAGTGGGCCCGACTTGTGTTAGGCTAGGCTACGGGTTGGGGCTTGGGCCTAGGCTGAATCGAGGCAAATTGTTTTTTTTTTGCATTTTTTTTTATTTTTTTGCTAAAATACTTCACTTTCCTTAATTCAATAATTCCTTTGAGCTTTGAGAACAAATTGGAAAAATAGAAAATTTAACAAAGAAATTAAAAAAAAATACTTAAATACTTAACAAATTACAAAATGGACAATAAATTGGAAAAAATATGAATTTTATTTATTGAATTTGAACAATACAATGGTCAATGGATAATAGATGAATGAAATATAGAAAATGGAATAAAATATAAAAAATATAATACAATTATAAATTGAAAATAAAAAATTACATTGTTGAAAAAATAAGAATAAAATATAAAAATATAATACAATTATAAATTGAAAATAAAAAATTACATTGTTTAAAAAATAAGAACTAATATAAATAAAATTGAAAAAAATTACAATAATTGAAATAATGAAATATTGAGTATACAAAAGAATAAAAAATATTGACTTCATCAATTTTCTTCAAGTTCTACCTCCACCTACATCTTCATATAATCATCTCCTTGATTGTTGATCATATGTTTCAGGTGAAACATCAGGTGTAATGTCATGCCCTCCTTTATCTTGTAATCTATTCATCATCCAACCAATCTTTAAGGTAGATGAACATCTCTAGAGTTTCATCATCATACAATTTCTTTTGTCATCCAGCACCCTAGAACTTGCACTAAAAGAAGACCCCAATGGAACTATAGACATCAGAGGGGTTAGTATATCATGTGCCACGATGGCAAGGATTGGATAGTTTTTCTTTTTTTTCATGTCCTTTCCACCAGTCTAAAATATAAAAAATTAACCCATCCCTCATTGTTGGAGGAATCAATTAAAGTAGAAACACTTGCTTGTAAATAAAAATTAAGTTAAGTAAATTAAATTGCTGATGAACTGGTAGTAGATTTCTGCCTCTTGTAGTAGAGACAGAATTTTGTCTCCACTACTGGAAATGGAACTAACTGTTTCAGAAGTGGAACTTGCACCTGTACAAGATTTCTTATGCCCAGTCACATAAACTATACAC